TGAAGTGGGAGGCATTGTTCAGGTGGCTGGGATTTTGGGTTGTGATGACTCTATGTCTGTATCCTCAAAGGAGAAATTGAAGATTAAACTGAGGGTCATAGAGTGACTTTTATTAAAGAAGATTTATGCCTTAGTCTACTTTATTTTATAGACAGTTTAACTGATTTTCAAGGGTGCTAAACTTTAGAACTTAATTCCCACTTAAGATGAGATTTTTAAGAAGAGTTTTCAGTTTTTCCTTGGCAGTCAGAGACATAGTGATTTGGGGATTTGAGGTGCTGGCTCCATTTACTCAGGCTAGAGCTGTGGGAGAAAGATGTTTAATAAGGATTCCCTCTGTGGGGTATAGGTAATGAACTTTAGAAATAGGGATGTCTGATATTCAGTTTTAAGTTCTTTCCTGTTTTGTGCTGTAAATACTCACCATTGATTGCTAACCTTCAGTAAACATCAGTTGTACCACCAGCCTTGAATTACTAGTGCCTTGCAGAATGGAGCGAGGGGGCTGCCTTCATTAAATAAGATAATGCATCTAAAATTCTTAGTGTTAAGTGTTTGTACCAGAGTATAAGCACTACATAAATGTTAGTTTATATTATTATATTTGGGAATACAGAAAGCTGCCCAGCATAGAGGAATACAGAGGAGATAGCTGGAGGTGATCAAAGAGGAGCCGGAAGGAGTTTAGAATAAGAGCTGACAAATGACTCTGAGGACATTTAAATCTTCATCTTCACTTCTCATTCTTAACTCCCCTACCCCCAAATCCTGAGGAACATTAGGGACTATACTTGGCTTTGGATAGTTACTTGAGCAGTTATTCCACTTGGCTGTTAAAGTGACACAAATGAAAGGGGGACTCTAGAAGGCTAAAACCTTGTGACAACGTGGGATCTGGGCAGTTAGGTCTCAAAACTTGTTAAAGAGGACCCTGGGCAGATAGGGATGGAAGAATAGTGGGAAGGAATAGAATATGCTTCAGAAATCCCCAACTTAAGAAAATTTTATGCTCTTATCTGGCTGTTAATCCTTTTGTGCACCTGATAACAGTTACTAACGTCAGTTAATTTCATGCTGACTAGGCTATATAGTTCTGTGTGTTCTGTTCAGGATAGAGTTCTCTTGATGGCAGGTTGGCCACTGAACTGGCCTGAGTTCTCCCCTGGTAAGTAATTGTATTTTGCAATAAGATGTCTATGGTCTATTTGAACTGAACAAAACACAAAGCTCTGTTTCTTTCTTGCCTTGTTTACTCCAAAAAAACCCTTTAAATTATTTTCCTTACCTTTAATCTTTCCCGTAGACCAAAATACCCAGCACATTGTAGACAGGTGAGTCAGTCTTTCTAGAATAATGCTTCATTGGCAAGATTCTAAAGTGGCTTCACAGCATTTATTAGATTGAATCCAGTGTCAGGCTAGAGGCCAGTTCTACCACCGCCAGGCCTTACTGTCAGTCTTACTTCTTGATGGGCATGACCCCCTCTACCCAGGTCAGGCTCATCTGCTAAACCAGCATACCCCTCTTAGAGCGGCCTCCTCCCAACTCTAAACTCCCTTCCTCTTGCCACTGAGCTAAACTTTACCCCCACCTCCAGGTCTCACTGAAAAGCCATCTTTCTTATGAAAACCTCCCAAGTATTCTAGTCCATGTTGTTTTTTTTTCCTGAATTTATGTTGACATTAGTCATTTGGATTCATCAATCAATTGAACAGTTATTTGTCGAATGCTGACAATATACCAGGAACATAATGCAAATACTATGTTAATTGATTATGTGCCCTTTTATATTTCTCACTTACTATATGTGTGTGTACTTATTGCCCCCAAAAACCCTAAGGACTCTATTGTTTTCATTTGTTTTCTCACAGAATTAGGCACAAAATAGGAATGCAATAAATGTATCTTGAATTAACCAAAGTATCTGCATGATAAACTTAACTAGGATGCAAGTCACTTGTTAACTTGTCAGCTTATGATCACTAACCATGTTAAGTGGGTGATGAGTGTTCTTAATAAACATTTTTCATTATGCCTGACCTCATTAAATCTTGCATAGTGACACATTTTGTTTAAAAACTTTTATTAATAGCTTTTTCATAGCTCAAAAAAAGGTGTTACAGATGATACTCAGCAAAACAATTAAAAACAAAACCTTACCTCTGTAGAGTTAGCCAGTGTGTAGACTTTATTACATAGGCACATATTATTTTTATAAGTAAACTGTTTTTACATAAAATTAATCACAATAGTACAAGAAATTGCACTGAATGAGGCTGGATAGTGAAGGAAGGAAAATCCAGGCCCCGATCAGCTGAATCATTCACTAGATCTTGGGTCCATCCATCCTAACACATTGAAATTCACTGTGGGCATTACAAAAATGGAGAGTGAGGAGGGGTGCTCTTTTATCACCCGCTGGCTTAAAACACTGATTGTTCAATTTCTTAAATACGGTAAAGTTTTCTCCAGGTTCTGTTGGCCACTTGACACAAAGGTTAAGTGAATGCTGAGTTAGGGTCAGAGGAGTTGATACTTGTCCCTTCTGTCACCCTCATACCTCAAAACCCTTTGATGTTCTGGTCCCAGAGGGTGCTGTTGGGAGGTGTGCACATCTGCTTTCAGAGCTGCCCCCATTGGAAACCACCTGGGGCGCTGACCCTGAAGCACAGGGAGGCAAGACAGTGGTGCTTAAGGCTTCAGTCACAGTGTGGCTAAACGGTGTCCACAGCTAGCACTGAGGGTTTGATCTGAGGCAGAAGATGGGACTGAACAGGAAGAGGATGCTGGAATTCCTTGCTCTGTCCGGCTGGAATTGAGCCATTACATTTGACCAATTCTTAGTACAGGAAACTAAAATCATACTAACACATACCACAAAAGGGGTGCTATTTTGTAGCTTGTACATGTTTTAAAAATTTTTTTTGACTACAGTTTCATGTTACTGAGAGACAATAAAGCTAGATAGGGAGGATTGACCCTTCCTCTCATCTCGTTTTGCCGTAACTATATTAAAAGCAGAGCCAGGATGTTTGCTTTTTCTACCCTCAATTTCTGCAGTCCTTTGTATATCTATAAATCATTGATCATCCCAACATGGCCCCTCAGTACCTTGGAGGCTTAAACCTACTTCTGCTTCAGGTGGTACCCAAATCCTATCTGTTCCTCATCACACTCACACACTGCTGTGCTGGGTGATGCCAGGGGAACGTCCAGAGCATGTGCCAGCCGATCTTCATCATCCTTTTGATCCTGCATTTTTATCTGTGTTTTGAAGGCAACTACAAAATAGAGGATTGCAGGGTTTTGTGTTTTTCTGTTGTCTGGGCAGATGGAAAAGGATAGAGACATACAAAGGGCAAAGATGGGCCAGCTAATTTTCCCAACATTCAAATTTTAAATTTCTTGGTTCTTAAGACTACATGAAGAGTCCAGTTGACATGAAGTGTCACTGACAGTGGCACCAGAGGATATTTTATAAAATAATCCATAAAACTGGAGCTGGAAAGGACCTGATGAAACAGTCCAGCTTCCTCACTTTTTTTAGCTGAGGTCACTGAAGCCCAACTGGGAAGATGGTTAACATGGTGATTGTCTCCATGACTGTGTCCTTTAAAGACTCATAGAAACCCTACTTCTCTGATAAAGGGCATTCCCACCAATGTCTTTGCATCAGCAATCCTCGTCCTTGGGTTTGGCCCTATTAGCTCCCTTTAGGGAAGCTGACTGCTCGGACAGCACCTTGACCAGTAAACACTAGATAAATACTTGTTGAACTGAATTCTGTTGTTCATCCTTGTTAGGCAATCTTTTATTTTTTCTTGAGTTCCTTACGTTCAAGTGTTTTGAAATTTGGTGGCCAGTGCTATATTTGTTACTTCTCTGCACTTTATTTTTTCATATTGCAATTCTACCTTTTGATTCTGTTCTTTTATAGCTTTTCATTACATGTAATTATTATTTGCCTCTCTCCAGGCACACACATCATTATGGATAGCTTCTGCCTTTACGGGCCTGGAATTGCAAATTCAGAGATACATTTTTTTTTCAGTTGTTAAAATGAAACAAAAGGAATAGACTCTCAATCAGATTTGCTAAGGCACAGTGGAAGAAATGTAGAAATTCCACATTCCTGCTTAGTTAATACATGGGAAACCATTACTGATACACATATTTATTTTCTACATTTGTGACTGCCTTACACATCGCATTCATTTTTAATTTGTTAAATAGATAAATATGAGTCACAATATCCAAAGCAAGTTTCATTTACAAAGAACATAATTAAGAAACGGTAACTTGTAGAGAATTGGCACTTAGACATTGGTAATGTTTAGAAAACATGTTTAGGACTTGGTGAGAATGCTATGATAACTTTATATAAAGAGCTGTCATGGTTTGGATGGAACTTGGTAGTGAAATGTTACGGATAATTCCTTTACAAGATGATATTTTTGTAGATTTAGTTTTTTGGTCACTTTTGATTGAATTTCATGTTAAGTTGCATTCTTATCATGACGTAAACTCTAGATATGCTAGAATTAACTTACCATCATCATTCATAGAAGAGTTAAAGTTACCATTCTTCACTGGAAGAATTTC